GGCGGGAGAGGCCTCGCCGGGCGGGCTCCTCGAGGTCGGGCGCCCTGGGATGGCCGTGGGCACGGCCTGGCCTCTCCTGGCGCCGTCTCCGAGGGGCTGTTGACCATGGCCACTCTGTGAGCCCCGGCTTGGTTAAGGATTGGATTCCCAGCCACCACGTTTTAAGCTTCCAACCCCCCACTGGTCTTAGTGACACAAAGATGACCTCGTTCCTTGCCACAGAATGGGGTGGATTATGCTCACCTGGCCAGATTAAGAAGCACAAAAGAGAACATTTGGACAGTGACTGACTGTCACAGGGTCCGAAATGGTAAGCCCTAATAAATGGCAGCTATTATTATTATTACGAACAGGGGTTAGTGATTTACGGCTTTTCAGAACGTACATAGTCAATAATGGCTGCCCATGAAGTACCCGTCGGGGTGTGCGCCCCAGATGATCCTAAGCGTCTTGCAGGCGCTGCGCTTGCCGCAGGAGTGTGCGCAGGCGCCGGCCGGGGAGCAGCAGGGCGAGGCTGGGCCGGAGCTGCGGCGGCACCGTCGCCTCCCTGCTTAGCGGCTCCAGCACTGCTTACGCTTGTTCATGTTGCACACCTGCCCTTCCCAGTCATTGTGAACTTGTCCTGTCCTCTCGTAATAAACAGCTCATACTTATGGACCATTTACTACGTGCCAAGCTCTGTTCTAAGGACTTTAAAGGTATGAATTCGTTTAACTTTCACAGCAATCCTATGAGGTATCGATTATTAATGTCTTCATTTTACAGATGAAGAAACAGGCTTAGGAAAGTCAATTAAGTTTTCCAAGGCCAACAACCAGTCAGGAGCAGAGCCAGATTCAAATCCAAGCTAAATGACCCTTGAGCCTGTGCTTTTTACTCTTGTTCTAAAATGCTTCAGTCAGATGAAGGGCCAGGCCCACGTCTGTCTGTGTACTCCTTTTTTATCCTCATTGGGCACGTACTGAGGATTGTCTTCCTGTCAGCCAGCACAGAGCCTGGCATGCGATAGATCAATATTTGAACATTTGATGAATATTTGAATGCTGAAAAAAACGAAGACTCAGGATTACCATCATATGTAAAAGCAGTTCAATTTCGAAGAGGTATTTACACATTGCAACATTGTTTATAATAGCCCAGAGGTGGAAGCAACCTAAATGTCCATCAGTAGGTGGATGGGAAAAGAAAAAGTCCTTAGCACATTTTTTAATCAGGCTATTTGGGTTTTGTTGTTGTCATTGTGATTGAGTTGTAGGAGTTCTTTATATATTTTGGATGCTAGCAGTGAATAATTGGACATTGAAATTTTAAAAATACCATTCAGCAGCAAAAAA